TGGTAAAATGCAAGATACTATGATACAGCCCAAAAGAGTACAGTCAGGTCTCTCATACTAGCAACTTCCTCCCAGAGCAATGGCCACATTAACACTCAGATGCTAATCTGCTGCGTAACTATCAGATCAAACCAAACTAAAGGGCTTATGAGTGGGGACATTTTCTAATGCCCCTCAGCAGAGAAAGGAGATATTTAAGTGCTGACAGATCTCTATTTGGAGGCAGGGTTTCTGAAGGTCCTGCACCCCATTCACTCAGGTGTGGCTGCTTAGACGACTCGCCTGCCACGCCTGCCAACCGGGCTCCTGCCTGCTAAGTCCCACAGGTTCCTGTAGCCTTTGACCTCCTTGTGGTACACATCCAGCACACTCACACGAGAAGGGTACATCTACTTCCCCTGATTACCCCACACACCTCAAACCTTCTCCTTGCCTGGGCTTGCCAACTGACACTGCAAGTAGAGGAAATAAAGGGTGGGGGAGATTATTCTGAAAACCTGCAAAGGTAGGAAAGAAAGAGTCAGAAGGAAACTCCTGTGAGGAAAACATAATCGACTCCAGCATCAGAGAGCTGACCTAGATGCAAGTTTCAGTTCTGTAATCCCCTGACTGGTGAGACCTGTTCAAGCTATTGATCCTCCCTAGAAGGAAGAGAAAATCACTTCTGAGTTGAATGGCTTTCAAGGGAAACACTAGGTGAAACTCTTATTTATTCCTTTCTCTTCTTGTGTATTGCTTACTAGAATATAAAATTCATGGGAACAAAGATCTGGACTAATTTTTCCACTTTTCTCTCCCAGTGCCTAGAATGGCACCTGGCCCATAGAAAACGTTCAACATAATGAACTGATCTCCATGTGGCCATCAGTCAGCATCAAAGGCTGACTGTCCCTGCAGTGACCCAGCACTGAGGAAAAAATGCATAACTCAATGCATTTCCAAAGGAAAAGGAAGAAGAAATCCCAATTGGAATGGTATGCTTATCTTGCCAATGCCCTTGTTTCCTGGGGTCACTGAATTCACCACATCGTTGGGCCCTCTGCAATGGGATCATAAGCCAAGACTCCAACCATTGGGCAGACCGCTCAAGACAGTTTTTTCTGCCTGTCACCTGAGAAGCTATAAATCCACCAGCTTGTCCAAACCCACCAACGATTCTATGCTTCTTGAAAAAGAGACATTCTCATAGATTTTAAATTTCATGAAGGCAGATCCTTCACTTCACTCCCCATAAAACATTCAGTGCCTAGACTTTCACAGAAGCGTCAAAAGACTATTTAATGAATAAATGACTATTGTGTCCAAAGCAAGCTTTTTTTGCTATTGAAGAATATGTTGATTTTTAAATCATGCACTAGATGGCAGTGTCATTCCACACCACTGCCCTGTAATTTCAGTGTCCAGGGATCCATGAATGGGATCAAATATAAAAGTTTTCAGTTCAGAGCTCCACATCAGGGAACAATTCTGGATGACCAAAAGTAGTAGATCTCATCAAAGGTGTGCCAGGTGTTTAATTATGTTCTAAAAGTTCATGTGTTAATGTGAAGAAAACCATCATTAAATAGCTGGAACACCTTGAGCAAATCACTTGACCTCTGCAAGGAACTCAGTTCCTTCAAATGTAATTCAAGGAGATTGAACTAGAGGATCACAAAGGTGGTGCCCTTTCTCCAGTTCCTGGCATTGAATAACAATGGCTGGCAGGCAACAGAGCCTCAGCATCCCTCCCTGGACAGAGAAGCAGACTGGCAAATTAGGCTAAGGGAAGGGGTTCCGTGGCCAGGTGCCAGGGTCAACTAGCGACAGTCAGGCTATTTAGCATCTCTGAGCCTCAGTTCTCTCACATGTAGAAAAAGAGGTAATGATCATATCTATAGCACCCTGAGTGGTTGTGAGGCTTCTAGAAGATTCCATGTAAAGTGCCTGACACCATACCTGGGGCACAGATATGCATTCAACAAATGTTTGCTGCTATTATTGTTACTGTTGTTAGTAGCAGTAGTAGTAGTATCACTGTCTTATTAGATTTTTAGTCAATTCAATTCATTTCAGGTACAACTATAGAGAAATGCTTGAGAACTGACACAAACAGACCAGAACTTGCAAGAAAGGCCTGCAGCCCAATCCTTGTCCTCAAAGTACTTAGAAAGGATGACTGGGAAAAGACAAGAACATAAAGGGCAGTAGCAAAGGTGCATAATAAAACACATCCACTGAGACATACAATGGTCACAGTCAGGAATAGCGCCATCTGATTTGGGAACGGGGGACAGGTATTTTGTGAGTATTCTGCAAGTAAAGAAAATAAAGCTCAGAGAGTCTAAGTTACTTGATCCAGGTCACAAAGTAAATACACGGCAGAAGAGGTATTGAGGCAAGAGGTCTAGGCCAGCCCAATGCTCTGGTCCCTACATTGTGATAACTTAGAGAGATGACATTGGGATGACCTTAAAGAAAGCTTGGACTCATCCCAGACCAAGCCAGCAAGATCCAGACAAGAAGAGAATGGACCTGGAGGAAAAGTAGCCTCACTCTGGGAAATGCTGGCCAACAGGATAACTTGTGCTACTCACACACAAGTTATCCTAAACTAATGGTTTCTACTTCATACAGCTCACACCAAATACTCAATTGGTGTTTGTTGACTGGCCAAGAACTGATTGACAAGGCCCATTATAAACATTTGTTGCTATAGTTGGTGGTGTTGCTGAATAAATCGCTCCTCACCACCAGTCAAAAATAGGATTAAATATTCATTTCAAAGCAAAGAGTTCTTTTTTATTTTTATTATTTTTAATTTTAGAGTTGAGGGGTACAAGTGGGGATTTACTACCTAAGTAGGTTCCAACCAGGTGAAGTTTGGGCTTCTAGGTAGCTCTCTCTCCCCTTGATACGGGACCAGGTACCCATTGTGTTATCACATGTCCCCTCCAAACCCTAGCAGTATTCAGCATCTGCCAATCCCACCTTTGTCCTAGTGTGACTAGTGTTCAGGGTCCACTTGTGAGTGAGAACATGTGGTATTTACTTCTTTATTTCTGTGATAGTTTACTCAGAATGATGGTCTCCAGCTGTATCCAAGTCACTGCAAATGACAAGACTTTGTTCTTCTTTGTGGCTGTATAGTATTCCATGGTGTCAATATACCACATTTTCCTTATCCAGTCCACTTTCAATGGGCATCTGAATGGGTTCCATGTTTTTGCAATTCTGAATAGTATGGCAATAAACGTGTGTGCAGTTGTCTTTTTGGGAGAGTGATTGACATTCCTCTGGGTATATTCCCAGAAGAAAGATTGCTGGATCATATGGAAGCTCAATTTTTAGTTCTTTGAGAAATCACCACACTGCTTTCCATAGAATCTGAACTAGCTTACATTTCTAACAACAGGGTAAACGTGTCCCCTTTTATCCACAGTCATGCCAGCACCTGTTGGTTTTTTTGACTTCTTAATGATTGCCAAACTTACCAATGTTGGGTGGTATCTCATTGTAGTTCTGCTTTGCATTTCTTTGATGATTGGTGAGGCTGAGCATTTTTTGTGTGTTGGTTGCCTGCATATAATCCTTTGTGAAGTGTCTGTTCATGAACTTTGCCCACTTTAAAGGGGTAATGAGGTTGTTTGTTTTTCCTTTCAGTAATTTGAGCTCCCCATAGATCTTGGAAGTCAGGCCATTGTCAGATGCATAGTTTGCAAATATTTTTTCCCCATTCCATGAGTTGTCTCTCTACTCTCTTTAGGTTTTCTTTTGCTATACAAAACCTTTTCAGTTTGATAAGGTCCCATCTGTCTATCTTAGCTTTTGTTGCAATTGACAAAGCAAAGAGTTCTGAGACTAATACATTGCTATCCCGAGATGTGTAACAAATTGTGGTCAGAAGGGGATTGGACCACGCTATCTCCTGAGTTTCCTCCATCTTTCAACCTTTGACCCTACAGCCTTCATATAAACTTTCACCTATCAGAAGTACTGGCATAGAATGTGCTCAAAAAGAAACAAACGTTAAGGATAACAGGGGGGTTGTGGTGGCTCACACCTATAGTCCCAACCACTAGTGAGGCTGAGGTGGGAAGACTGCTTGAGCCCAGGAGTTTGAGGTTACAGTGAGCCATGACTACACCACTGCACTCCAGCCTGGGCAAATGAAAATAAAATCTCTAAAAATAAAAATAAAAAATGAGAGCTAGCCTGGAAGCCACAGCAGCCTCTCTTCGGTACATATCATGAGAAAAGTCAAGAAAATTGTTAAGGGTTAAATAAGATGACATTTGTGAAGCCAAATTTGGGGTTCCATTAGGAGACTGCCCTGTCTCTGAGCAACATAAACTCTCTTACCATGAAAATCCCCATGGTCATAGCTCCATGACTGCAATGTGGATTTTTCTTTCCAAGTGAACTACTTTTAAAATGTGCACATTCACATTCAAAAATACCAGGGGCAGTCTAAGAATTTATTCTCTGGAACAGGGTTACCAAAGCACAAAACATATACATGACAATACAACACTGCTTTGGAAAAAAAGAAAAAAGAAAAAGGTCAGTGTTGAGTACTGGTTGAAATAATGAAAAAATTAATACTAAGGAAGGATGATCAAATTGTGTCACGTGCTAACATTTTAAATCACCAATATAAGGCAGGAAGTCAAAAGGTAAGGTTGTTACAGAAATAAGGGCAAGGTGAGAGAAACAGAAACAGAGATGTCAGTCTAATATAAAGAAGTACAGTCTAGCAGTTAAGGCTGCCCAAAAAGGAGGTGGTGTTCTTGACCAACAGTGAATGTTCTACCACTGACAGGCTGGAGAGCCACAGGGTGGGGAGGGTGGGTAGAACACAAGGCAGTCCCAGCTTCAGGCACTGGATGAGGGATGGGAACAAGCTCCTGGTATCCAAGGTCTCTTTAACTGTAAGTTTGCTGGCAAAGAGCAACCAGCATATATACACAGCACCATGTAAAAATTAAACATTTTGCTTAGGATATTAGTAAAGTTTCTTACCTCCTGAAGCTGAGATTCCTTCTTTTTGGAAGACAAATTCAAGTGTTTTTCTAAAATGTCACAATACTTCTCTCTTTGTCATACTTCTTTTTGGCTTCCTAGCAAAAAAGAGGAGGAAAGAAAAAGAGTAAAAGGCCACAGGAATAAAACCTGCCTCATTCTCTCAAAATCTCTTTCCTCAGCTTCATAGTCTCATCATTCCTTCAGAGCACATAACACAGCAGATAACCTGGCTCCTACTTTTCAGATAATGCCCATTAAATCATGCACACTCATCACCAGCCCCATGGGTGTGAGCATTTGTCTCTCATAGGGGCACCAGTACAATGCTAGAAAAGAAGTAAACACCAGTATTTAATCATGGCAATGCCAGGACTCATACTCTAAGAACTCCAATATGACACAGAAATTTCTAGTTTCTAACTATAAGGATATTCAAAGTCAGAAGAAGCAGGAGTCTTCTTATGAAGCTAATACCAAAGAAGGAATCTGCCTGTAGCTTGAATGGAACAAGTCTAGACTGAGGCTAGATCTGCCTTAATAGTGTTCAAAAAACACTTTTTAGTCTATATGCCTAAGCAGCATTCACAACAATAGCAAAATATGGAATCAACCTAAATGTCCATCAACAGATGAATAGATAAAGAAAATGTGATATATATACACAACAGTATACTACTCAGCCATAAAGAAAAGAATGAAATCACATTTGCAGCAACATAGATGGAATTGAAAGTCATCATCTTGAAATAAACCTGGCACCAAGAGACAAATATTTGTCTAAAAATTTGTTTACAGGGAGGTAGAAAGCAGAAAGATAGATAACAAACTGGTATGGATAAGTGAGGGAAGGAGGAAAATGAAGACATGTGAATGCAAACACTTAGTTCCTCACAAAATACGAGTATACACTTAGTTATACAAGGAATAAATTCAATGTTTGATAGCAGAGTAGGATGACTATAGTTAACAAAAAAATGCATTGTAGTAGGTAACAGACACCCTAAATTCCCTGACTTGACCACTGTGCAATATATACATGCAACTAATTTTCGCTTACACTTCACTAATTTGTACAAATTAAAACTATACATATAATTTTATGTATAATAAAATTACATACATGTATATTATATATATATCCCTTGACACAATAATATCATATTGGGTTTTTAAGTTGAGGAGTATGTCAAAAAATATATTATTTTCAAAAACATGTCCACTATGGAACCATTTATGCAGCAAAACAAAAATTAAAGAAGCAACAGCAAAAGCACTTCCCAAGGATAGGGTTTGGGATCATTGGACAATGGAACATCCAATAAATGTAACTGTCACCAGAAAACTGCTCATGATAGACAGAAAAATAATAATAGCACCATACAAACTTGATGCATCCTGCATAGAGTGTGTTTACATATGGACAAAGATAAGAAGGGAATATACTTCAATGACAACACTTGAGTTCAACAAATGGGATAATACGTGACTTTTTCCCCCCTTTTGGGAAATTTTTATTAGTTAATATTATTCCCTTTAAAATGAAAAGTAGGTGACTTCTGGCAAGATGGTGAAGGGACGGCTGGGTCTGTGAGACCCTCTGCGAAAGAAAACACCCATAAATACCCTAGATCTCTCCCAGGGGTTGCAGCCCCCAGCTTCCGCAGCCTGCTCTCCACAGGGAGCTCAGCCGCCACCTTCACCCGCCGTCGCTACTCGTATATTGTGAGGAACCAGGCTGCTCCTGCAGTCGCCGCGGCGGGAATGGGCTGCTCCTGCAGTTGCGGATACCGCCAGATGCAGTCATTTCCAGCTCATGCCTGAAGCAACCCACGACTTCAGACCATGAAGGCCCGCAAGCAGGATCTTCTGAGATCCCTGCTGCCACACCACGCCCCTAGCCCAGAGAAAGGCCTGTGGAACTCCCCCGGTGAAGTTGCCACAGCAGGTGGCGGATCCTAGCAGGCTCCCTCCCGGCTGGACTGTAACGTGGGATAGCACCACCTGCTGGGGAACCAAGGTAATAACATCAAAACCGGAATGGCAGAGGCTAATCCCACTTGAAAAATGGAAAAAGCCAGATCTCAGTGATAGACTGGGCGGGGGACCCATATCTGAACTGTTCTTCACAGCAGGCCAGGGGCAACTGACCTTAAAACTGCGAACAATTCTACCAGCCTGCAAAGACAGCTAGAAATCAGAGGTGAAAAGACATTGGACTAAAACGAAAAGTCTCAGAGTGTGCTTGACTGGTTCTGTTAGTCTACTGACTTTAATCTATCCCTTCTCCCCACCCCCCTTTTTTCTTCTTTTTTTCTTTTCTTCCCCCCCTTTTCCTTTTTTCTTATTTCTCTGTAAATTCCATCGTTGAATAAAGGAATAGCACACCAATAAGGAGGTTGATCAGTGTGTACGTTAGCATCATGGTATGTTTTAGATTTTTATATGGTTGCTAGATTTCAGTCATGGTTATTGTTTTTCTTCATATTTGTTTCAGTCTTTGTGTTTCTTTTCTCTTACTAGGCGGTAAACTCAACTGTTTTCCCTCTCACTCCTCTCTCTCTCCACCCCCCCCACTGCCTGCTCCACTCTCTCCTCTCTGTTAACCTCATTTTGCTTTCAGAGAGTAAACCTACAACCCCACTGCATGAACAGACTCCAAGGCAGTGGGACGTGGGTTTCAGATTATCCATACAACTGTTGGCGAACACCAGGATCTGCAGAGAGATTTTTGAATCACAGCTCCCCCCTTAATTAAATCCCAAACCTACAAAAAGCACTGTCCTCAACCCACAGTCCAACTCCAGAACTTGACAAAGCAAGAGAAAATATACTACGAAGAATAGGAGATTGAACAAACAGAAGTAAAGGAAACACCTCCACCCCTGAATAACAGAATTAAAGAAGACGGGGAAGTGGAGGGAAGGGAAAATTAGGGAGGGAAAATCTGCACAAATGAAGCAAAACCAAAAGAAGAACACAGGGCTCACACAGACCCCCTGGGAGGTCAGACACTGAGAAAACAGACTTCCAACCACAACCAATGAAGAGCCCCCAGAATGACTGGTCACAAGCAACAAACACAGACATCAAGGCATTAATAGAGAGAATTAAAAAAATTGAGGAGAGACAAGAGGAAAATAGGAAGGAGTTGATGACAGAAATAACAGCAGTAAAGAATACTGTGATGGAAATAAATAAACTGATTAGCATGGAAAGCAGAATTAGTCAAGTAGAAGAAAGAATCTCAGAACTTGAAAACCAAAATACAGAACTAATCCACACTGTCAAAAACATAGAAAAGAAGCTTAAAAAGTCAGAACAAAACCTTCAGGAGATGAATGATTACTTCAAGAGACCCAATCTAAGAGTAACTGGCCTTCCTCAGGCAGAGAGAGAGTCAGAGGACACACTGGAACAAACATTTCATGAAATCATTCAAGAAAACTTCCCTCATCTCATCAGTGATGCAAAAATTCAAGCACAAGAAATTCAGAGAACCCCTGCAACACAACAAATGAAAAGACCAACTCCCAGACACATAATAATTTGCCTAAACAAAATAGCTATAAAAGGAAAAATCCTAAAGGCAGCAAGAGAAAAAGGCCAGACTACCTACCAGGGAAAACCAATTAGAATAGCAGCAGATTTATCCACAGAAACCCTTCAGGCTAAGAGAGCCTGGAGCCCTCTCTTCAAATTTCTAAAAGATAAACAATTTCAACCAAGAATAACCTACCCAGCCAAACTAAGCTTCATTAGTGAGGGAGAATTGAAATCTGTTTCAGATATCCAATCCCTAAGAACCCATGCTGCCACCAGACCACCGCTACAAGAAACTCTTAAGAAAGTACTAAACATAGAAGAAAAGGAAAAAAAGAACAACATTCTTAAGAAGAGTACAGGCAAAAGATTAAAAACACACATGAACCAACTCCAAAGCCCAAAGAATGACAACAAACAAACAGGAACAACAACTCTGTAAGAACCTTATGACAGGGATCAACTCTTGCATTTCAATTATTAGCCTAAATGTGAATGGACTAAATGCACCACTGAAAAGACAAAGAATGGCAAAATGGATAAAATATCATCAGGCAACAATCTATTGCCTTCAAGAGACTCACCTCACTAGAAAGGACTCTCAGAGACTCAAAGAAAGAGGATGGGAAACAAACTTTCAGGCAAACAGAATACAAAAGAAAGGAGGAGTAGCAATGTTAATTTCAGACAAAATACCCTTCAAGCTAGTAAAAATCAAAAAAGATATAGAAGGCCACTACATAATGATAAAAGGCTCAATCCATCAACAAGAAATATCCATGTTAAACATATACCCAACATAGGAGCACCAACTTTCATAAAGCAGCTTCTAGGTAAACTAAAAAGAGATATCTACTCCAACACCATCATAACTGGGGACTTCAACATCCCACTCACAACGCTCGACAGATCATCAAGACAAAAAATCAGCAACAAGATCTGAAACCTCAATGTGACTCTTGTCCAAACAGACTAAATTGATACCTACAGAACACTCCGTCCAAAGACCACAGAATATACATTGTACTCATCACCTCATGGGACGTACACTAAGACTGACCACATACTTGATCATAAATTAAGAATAAGCAAATTTAAAAGAACTGAAATTTTACGATGTACCTTCTTGGACCACAGTGGAATAAAAATAAACATCAACACCAACAAAGTCACCCTAAAGCCCACAAAGACATGGACACAAAACAACATGATGTTAAACAACTCCTGGGTCAATGATGAAATCAAAACAGAGATTAAAAGGTACTAGGAAACAAATGAAAATGAAGAAACATCTTACCAAAATCTCTGGGATGCCATGAAAGCTGTAGTAAGAGGGGAACTTATTTCCCTACAAACGCACATGAAGAAAATGGAAGGAGAACAAATTAATAGCCTAACAAACCACCTAAGGAAGCTGGAAAAGCAAGACTTCGAAAACCCTAATTTCAGCAGAAGAATTCAGATCACCAAAATAAAAGCTCAAATCCAGGACACAGAAGACAAAAAGATAATACAAAAAAAAAAAAAATCAATGAAACAAAAAGCGAGTTCTTCA